TGAATTTTTAGCTCTCACGTTCAATTTCACGGCGAGTACCGGTTAACCACATGAAACGGTGAATCGGTTCTAACAAACCTAGACTCCTTCCTAGAATGGTATCAAAGTGGCCAGACCAGGTAAGCACTCTCACGAGATGCGCCATGGTGAAACGAGACTTCGACTGACGTATGTAGAGAGAATCGTCTCATTCATGCGACCACATCAAAAGCGCCAGAGGCTTTGACTTTCGAAACGACATTGGCCGTTTCTAACCCAGTGGCGGCCATATTTCACGCAATTTTCCTCGCGGATCGGCCATTTTTACCACCTTGGGGGCCACCTTCGACCGCCGTCGCTACGAACGTGAAAATTGTCCTGCGTAAATCGTCGCGTCTCGGCGGGACAAGAGCGGAGAAAAGTCGTGGAGTTGTACAGCTCTGAAACCTGGACCGGTTTCATTTGTTCTGGCCAAGCCAACCCGCCCCTCCCGGCAGCTTCGGTCCTACGTCTCTCTTTTCTCTTACCGTTCCGACCTTCTTTTATTTTCACCCCCCCTCTCTCTCTCTTTTTTCATTCCTTCCTTTTCTAGAGAAAATTGTGGCTCCCTCGGCCACGACTGGAGAAATTCTTGCGGCTCCCGGCGAGCTAAAAGATTTACTTAACCACCATTCCTCCACCGTTTTCCGACCCGTTCTTTTGATCGTCCAGCCTGCCTGCCTGCTGTTTTCCACTCCACCCTCTGCTACCCTCCCTCCCCATCGTCCCTGTTTCGCTTTGTTTTCCCTCCACGACAGAGAGATTACGTCCACGGAGTTAATAATTACGAGGCTCCTGCGTCGGAATTCGTGCACGGGCATTCTGTTCGATGGCCTCTGGCCGAGGCTTGTTTCGTCGACGTTGCTTTCAAAAGTTCAAAGAAGAGGCCTCTCCTCTAGATTCATTAGCAGAAGAAATCTCCAATTGGATTTAATTCGAGTCTGTCTTAGAATTAGTTAATTTTTTTTTAAACTCTTTTTACAGGAGAAAATTTGAAAAATTTCAAATTCGATTTACTTCTAGAAGGGAGGATCTTCTTTTCCATGGTGAGGTGATCATCCTCTGTATAATGGTATATCCCTCGTATTGTAACTTTATCCGAACGGTCGTGTCTAACGATTCGAGGCGGTATTAATTAAACGGAAAACTTTTGATATTCCAGAGAGGAAAGCTCGGGATGAAAATCCATCCCGAGGCCAAGGGGAATCTACCTTTTAATTTCCACGCGAGTCCAGGCGAATTGTTATCGTCGATCGTCCCCTCGTTTCGACTTTCTGAAACGGGTGAGAAGGGGATTAATTGGATGGTACTGGAGGCCAATTAAAATTCTACACTTACGAACGTATTGTATTATTTTCGAAATAAATTACAAAAATAGGTTCGAATAATTATCGAAAATTATATAAAATTTTCGTCGCTCAGGCGACTCGATAACTCGCCGTTATTCGTAAATATTTTTTTCACCCCTTTTTTTTTACCAAGGGGATAATTAAAAAGCGCGCGATTACTTTTCCCTTGCACGGTTCTCGATGGCCATTACGCCACGCGCACGACGCCACTTCACCACGCTCGAGTTATCGAATTTGTTGTCGAAAACCGTATCAATTGTTCTCGCATAAACGTTCGATCTCCACCCTCCGCTTCTGTTGTCTCTCCCTCTTTTTTTTTTTTTTCGATCCTACCTCTTGATTGTTACTCTTCTGTTTGTTTGTTTGTTTGTTTGTTTGTTTGCTTTGTTTCGTCCACGTTCTCGAAGCATTTCTCGTTTTTTGAAAATGGCACGCTCGAACTCGTCAGAGATCTACAGAGATCTCTTGTATCCCTACGCGTTGATCGCGTACAAATCGGGGATATTTCTAGGATTCGTTCCCCGCCTGTGTGCTTTCCAATAGTTATCTGCTTGTATTTCGTTTCTGTTCGGTCAGGATGTCGTTCGATTTTAGGGACTTCTTCTTGATGAGAAACGATATAGGATAATAATTTGATCGATGAACTTTTTATTTTATGTTAATTGATTCTATTCAAGACATGCTTGAAGTTGTTAGTAAATCAGATTCGATATATTTTGAATTCTTTATGAAAATGAAATATTTCTTTCTATTTTAAATTTATTTGACAACTTAATCTATTAATGTATCCGATGATCGAAAAAACGTTTTGTTTGGAACAAAGAAGTTATCGATATTTGTTAATACTTCAAGTTAAATATTCCAAAAATATTCCTATGCATTACAATCTTATGCCGTTTCCTGCTCGAAAAATATTCACTTTCAGCCGTGAGCGTACAAATGCAAATTCATGCAGGATCGTATAAAACGAAGATGGTCGATCGGTTTATGAAAAAAAAAAAGAGGATAGCAAAAATTTTCCTCCGGCTGGTATACAATGACGTTCACGCGAGAAATTAATTCATATTTTTCGTCGCGCTGTCACGGGACAATAACGCGTTAATGCATCAGGCCAAGCTTTTTCGATCCGTATATCATCGTACCGGGCAACAATCGCGTATCGAACCGGAACGATGAAAACCGTGTTGTTTCGATGGCGTGGAATTAACTGCTAACTGATATTTTTGCGTTTGGCAAACACCCGGGTCGAAACGGGCGGGGCAAATTAGTGCAAAATTAATATTTAATGCGAGATGACGTTAGCAAACATTTCCATCCAGTTTTTCCGTTTACCTTGGCCGAGTCGAATTTCGAATAAATAGTATCCGGATATAATATCGACGTATTGTTTTCTCTTCTGTTTATTTCTGTTTCGATCGATTTACACCCGATATATAATCGTACAAAAAAGTGGATGAAATAAATTTGTAATCGTAAGATATTCCTATTATGGTAACACTGGTAAATAAATAATTCTATTCTTGAAAAATGGAGAATGTTAAAACGGAAGAATGTTCAAATATTCAAGATTGAACGTCAATCTATTCTCGCTTGTAAAAGAAGAAAATGGATCGTACAAAATGTCTGGTGAATAAGTTAAATTAATAGACTACTTAGTTTGATAAAAGATAAGATTATTAATAATTCTATGGATCAAGTATTAAATATAGTTTTTTCCATTGATATTTGTCGCGTATAATTCATTTAGTTAAATGATAGAATTGCGCCTTTTTTAATAGGCGCCATAGATGGATGAAACGATTTATGATTTAACGTTTGATGGATAAAACGAGTCTTGAAAATGAAAAAATTTTATTCTATGTTTTTATCTCCCTCGTAAATCCGCCTGTGTTCCAGCGTAGGAATTAATTAGTTTCATGTATGCATGGCAAGTTTTCAAATTCGATTCTCTTCAAAACGAAATTTCGTATAAAAAGTTATCATTTTGCATTTTCAACTCGTTTTCATACAAGAAATTACGCTTCTTTTTTTCTTTTGCTCGTATCATTTTACATATAAATTTCTAATTCAATCTTCTCTTTACGCAATTTGTTAAAATACGAAGATAACGATATCATCTTGAAATAATTTATTAAACATATCGATCGATCATCAACTTGATCGAAGATTATACGAATCTAAATAAAAAAACCATATTCGAGGCATATTTTCCAATCAAAACTCCCAACAAACATTCAAATATTACTTCGATATGTACAAAAAGGATCAACGATCGCCAATCGACCATAAGCCTAAAATTAGGATATTTTGCGAACAAAAACCTACAACAAAATTCAAGTACCAAATGGAGCTCGACTTCGATAAAAAAAAAAAAAAAAAAAAAAAAAAGCCATCGACCTAGATTCACCAGATACTCCTAACGGGACAGTCGAGCGAACGAATCCCGATTCCATAAAGTATTAAATTGATCATCGATTTATTAGCGAGTCGTATGGCTGATTTGTGGGGCCGCGTGTATAAGCAGGGCCGATTCAGCAAACATCAGAGCGTGCGAATGATTAACTAAGCTTGGCGTAGCGGGGGTGTCACGCAAATAGGCATTATGTATTCCTAGTTCATTGGGGACCGATCATTAATATTTGCGTCCCCTAGTTGCTGTCCCTCCCCCTCCTCCCCTTCCACCCATATGTGGCTTTCACAGGCACGTATGTTATTACCGATTGTTAATGTGCGTGGCATTATTTATACGTGTGTATGTGTGCGTGCGCGCGTATTCTCTCTCCCTTCAACCCTTCCTCCTCCCCCTCCCCCTCCTCCCTCCCTTCGAAATCGATACGGCTAAAGCCTTTGGTGCAG